CTCAAATATGAGAAACATAATTAGGTCTTCATACAATAAAAAGGAAACCAAATAAAATGAAAAACAGAAGAGAAGAATTAGTGGTTTGAACCAGTTTGCTATTTTCTTATTTTAAGCAATTCTTATTAACTGTTGGATTTGTTGGCAATATCAACTGTGTCTGCAACTTCCTACATTAACTTTAAAAAGTGGGATCGGGTAAGAGAAATATAGGTTTGTTGTAAACTAAAAGTCTTGGGTGCATTGAAGCACCAAAACTTGCTTAAATGAAAGCAATAAACCTGCGATACCAACAAGAAATGAAATCACGCATAATTATGCAATTCTTTTCTTTCACTACCAAAAAAAGTACACCAACGAATTGCGCAAAACACAAAATGGCTCTCACACCAAACAACTTTCCACATGTGTAATCACCAAGTTGCACGTCCACGGGCTATTAAAGCCCTTCACCTGCATTCCCCACGTAGGCGCAAGGCATTATGGAACACGAAATGAACACTTTTCGGTAAGGAAAAACGAAAACAGTCTTGTCTGTACTGCGTTTTGGGTAATCGTTCAAAAATCTATTTGTAAAAAATAAAGATCTACCAGTTTTACTGTGTCTGAACTTTTCATACAGCTTTGAACTATAATTACATCAGCATTTCAAATCTATTCACAATCAATTTTACTTTCTTACAAAATGTTTCAATCATAACCATTTCAAATTGCTACCGGAGATTAGTTCCTATGACTCGATATTTCTTTGATAGAATCTGTAGGCGTTTGAATCGCAGAGGTTTGGCTTGTACATAACTGAATGGCAAATCTATTTTAAGAGAATCGCGCAAGACGTTAAATATTGCTATGAAATCTTAAAGATATTTATAGTTTCGTTAGTTCGACATTAGTCTATTCATAGGACGTTCACTTTATCAATTATAAATTAATGGCATATTGGTCGGCTCAGTATTGATTAACCCATCTTGTTCAGTGGGTGTCGATAAGGTACATTGTCCGTAGATGAATTAATTAGAATGGATTTTACTAATATTAAAGATTTAACCTAAACAGAAGTTCATTTCATTTGTTCCACATCACTGGTTTAGTATTTACTACTATCAACGAACTTTAGAAAATAACCACCAAAAACTCACAAAATATGTTGTAACTATGCAAGAGAAAAGTTTAGCATTAATTCTGTATACCATATAGGGCACCGAACTGTTCCACAAAGGAAAAGAAGAAAAAATAACAGGTAGATAATAGTTGTCTTCTTTATTACCATCTTGTATGTCCATGGCAATACCTGATAGTTGACAAAATTCTGCTTTGTTTAGTATTTGAAGTTGAGCAGCCATTCTTATTACACGCTATTGAAGGTTTTCATCATCAGATTAATTCAATTTTGTCAGTTAGGAAGATCCATTAAACTGAATTATTGTATCACCCAGGTCTCTACACTTACATTTCCATTCAATGTTTTAAAAGGCACCGAACAACCTTTTATGGCTGAAATTCAACTTCCCGCGACCGTATCCGTGGGAAGTTGAAATTTTCACGTCGCACGAATGCCGTCAGTTTAGTTATTTCCAGGAAGAAATAAAGTGGTTACGTAAAATTCTATGAAAACAGAACAGTGATCCTAGGATTGCCTTGTTTTTAGTTATTGTATAATAATAATGACTGCGTAATTCATTATGTGTTATAAGGTTAATGTTGTTTAGGCCGGTGGTAATGACATAATAGCGATGCAAGTGGGTGAGTGCAGTCGTGTCGACGAGCTGGATTGGAATCCGGTCACATTCCTAACGGCACTACACACTTGCACTGTCGCATTTGATGCACTTCGCGCGCTCCGCAATATCTACCATATTATCTCATTAAATTATGCCAATTAACTTGGTACACCGCATTTCGCACCACGCTGTCTCATACTAACTACTCGCCGGTAGAACTAGTCCTATGTTTAGATAGTCTCGTTTACCCAGTTACGGGAGTTTGAATTTAAAGTACCTGATTATTTATGACTGTTTAACCTACTAAGATCGCTATTTTAGATACTCACGAGATCCTTTTAATAACAACGATTACGATTTATCAAACGGCGTGTATTTACGCATTTATTTCAAACATCGGTGCACCGACCTAGTATCTATTGGCAGCTTGATAAAGTATTACATCAACATTCCTTATTCGTTAAAAGGTTTATAACATTTTAGTCATAAAGCTAAACAGCTGAGTTTACTACAGAAAGCGTTATTTTAATCATTGTGTTTCTTAGAACTGACCTACTTAGTTTATTTTTTGCGATCGCATAATCTTACAATCGTTTATTTCATATCTACTAACTTTCTCTCTCAAAACTGATCGTGAAAAAAGTATGATAGTCTTAAGTGAAATATGAAAAATAAATGAAATTAATTTCAGTTCAAACGATATTGACCTAAGCTTATTATAAAATAGGCCGCATACTTACTTATCATAAGATCAAATAAAGAAAACGCGAATTTCTATCTTAATTTTAAAATAAACTTCTCTCGTAGCATTTCAATTTATTGTTTATTTACTCGGTACGTACTCGGAAGCTACCTATATTTCATCCTCGAAACAGTTTCCACTGCTCGGATGCTTTCCGAGCTGCTTGCGAAAATGAAATACCTTTTACGTTACGTTTCGTTGTGGTTTACGTTTAGACTCTCGTATTTTCAACCCGCAACCTTAACGATTACAGAGCGGTTTTGTCTGTTTTGCTTTTCTGACTTGCGGTATTCAGGGATCCCTCGAGACTACAAAAAAACCTTTCATATCTCTAAATGAACTTTTCACGAGGCCCACAAAGGCTTTTGAGGCATTGGGTCACTGAGATTTTACTCGGGTTTCACTTATTGCATTATTACGTATATAGGACAGGCTTCCCCTTTCATCGTCTAAAGAACGTGGCCTACTTGTAACCTATTTCCTCAATATTGTTTTTGTATATTAATATTAATTTTTATACTTATTATCGAAGTTCTCATTATGTGGACATATGAAAACAAATAGAATAGGTGCGTGAAGAGGGCGGTGCGCGGGCTGCGCACCTACCCGCGGGTCAATTACTGCATAAATCAATACGGATGTCGCCCTATGCGGTGGCTCTTTGTTCCAGCCGACTGGAGATACGAGGCCCGTCTCGGCGGCTCCAGTTCTGTCCGGAAAACTCGCTGAGGTATCGCGGGGTCGGATGATTACTTATTAACGTAGGTGGAGGCTGGCTGGCGCGGGCGGGCCGCTGTGAGCTCGTCGTGCGATCGATGCCGAGGCGGCCAATGGCGCGCCGCCGCCCCCCGACGCCCGTACTCTGCGCAACCCTCACCACACCCCGCGCACGTCGCACCCCGGCATACCGCCCCCATAAATCATTGAATCCGCCATAAAACACCCCAATGTTCGTAAAAATGTAACTCTAATTGGCGAACACAAGTCTCATATCTCCTAGTCAAACTACATCCGGAAGCCTTCAGGACAAGGCCTTAGTTTGGAGACGTAAAACATTGATCAAAGAGTAATACAGATCCCCGCTCGCCCGCTCGTTTGCCTCGTCGGAGCGGGGCTCGTACGAATAATTGAATTTCCATCATAGAACAAAATGAGAGCTGAAAACTGAAGCGGGCGACTTTGTTGGCACAGCGAATTATTTCGGACGTCAATTATTTAGTCACGGTATCTGTCTGAAAATTGATATTACAGTAAAAGCGCATTAATTTTACGGACATATTAGGAGAGGCTTTCGACAAAAAGGGTTTTATTAAACCCAGCACATATGTGATGAGTTTTTTATGGCGCTTTCCGTAATGAAGTAGGGAATTAATAAAATTGTTATGTTTTTAACAAACGCGGCGGGGAGACCTAATAAAGTGATTTCTGTTTATTACGTTGAAATGGATTTATTTACGTTATGTATTGTTTATGTTTTTATCACTGATCAAATAACATTGTTTGAATTAGTTCACGTTTTGATATCGCTGATAAACCGGCGTCTAAATATCACGTTTGTAAAATGAAATGGAATCAATTATGATTTCTGTATTGCATAATTTGTTTAGTAAACATCATTATGTTTTTAAAGCGCGCAACGAATCATAGCGTGTTACGTATACATACCAAATCTGTTGTAACATTACTAATCTGTTATCACGTGATTTAAGATTATGAATGAGTAGGCGCAAAAATAAATTTCAGGACCTTATCTAGCTTATTTAATGTGGATATTTCAACGTTTGAATTATTGAAATATCATAGGATTAAATGGATTATTTCCGATTTAATTTTAATGTCCGGAAATCAATATGTGTGTATTATGATCATAATACTGTTAGTTTCGAAAAAAGAAGCGTAGGGTAGGATGTGATTTTGTGTTAGTTTATACACTCAACAAAAAAAGATCCTTGTTTGTTCATATTAAGTACGTCGTTGTATGTAAGCAATATTTGTGTAAATATTACTAATACATTACCCAATATAAGACTTGAGTGGTTTCAATGACGTTACTATTTTCAATTTCGATGCTGATATTATTTTTATTATAAATAGCCCAGTTTCCTCTTCTTCCTGCTTTTGCGCTTGTCTCAAACCACTTGAAATCAGTATAATATCTTTGTATTATTTCTTCCCCATCAGACGTCATCGGTCATCTCATCAGGAACTTCTTTCTCTTATTATAATAATAATATTGAATGGGATATTATAATAATATTTATACTATGTAAGTCAAACATCTCTTACAATGTATAAAACTACTATGTTGTTACTACTGTTATCATCTTCTACTATAATCAGGAATCATTTCAGGTCTAATTGAAAGTGATATAGGTGTTTTGTACGTTTGGGTATCAGTGGATAAAGATATAATTGTCTTGAGGTTTACGAAAACCCTGTACTTGTTACTGTAGAATGCTGTTACTAATATTTTAAAGTCATATAATTTGGTTCTATCGGAAAAGGAACAATTTTAAATGATCAACATTTTGTTTCAGCCGCCTCGGGGCTACGGTGGGCCACCTTACGCAGGTGCCCCGGGCGGTCCTCAACAGCCCCCGGGCGCATATGGCCCACCTGGATCGTACCCACAGAGGTACCCACCGCCAGGGCCCCCAGGAGCACCCAACTCACGACCGCCTTTCTCACCACATCAGGTTTGTGACTTTACTATCTAGTCTTGTTTATATCATTGTAACAGAGAGATTCTGAAGACGTGATTTTTTTTGGGAGAAAACCTAAGAAATGTTATATTTTATGTTTATCTAATTAAAACCACTATTGTTGTCAACATCGGCTCCTATAAGAGGTCACAAGAGCTAAAGAAAAAAACTCCGATACGCACATTGTCCAGTACCTGTTATGACATCCCTTGGGAGTCTTTTATATCATCCCAAGCCTAATCTGAGCCACGTTTTATGAATGTGTATGGGTTCATACAACTTTATGGTCTTGGATTGGATTCCTCATCAACCAGATGAAGTCCATTGAAGGCAAAAGACCTCTTAGTCCGCCAAATTTGTCGCGAAGAATCTAACGGGTTACCGGGGCTCCGGCTCGACATGCAGGAGAAGGAACGGGGTGGTTTTTTTAGTCAGTAAGAGTCTGACACTCCCTCCCGCCTCATCCAGGCTGGAGCAGTCATTCGATAATTTCCCCCCTTAAAAAAAAAGTTCGCCAAATTTGACACTAACCGGTTTACACAAAAAATTAGTTTGTTTTTATAGGGTCCGAAATAGTGATGATTGAAAAGGGGCTTTACAAATGTTCGATAGTTAAGATTACATTGTACAGGTGTTTAGAGAAACTAGTTAGTCAACTTCTCCACCTTTGAACCAGAAATTTAAATTTTTGCAAATGTATGTATAATATTATTAACATATCTAGCATTAATACGATAGATAATATGCAAAATAAAGATAAGAAAGTAGTACGTTTTCTGATAGCTTTAATAAATTAACATGATAATTGTTTGTATGATTAATAACTTAGAACATTTTGAAATTGTCGCAGCTAGTTACATTGAACAACTTGATTGTATGTTCTAGTAATCTTGTTAATATGAACAATATTTAATGTTAATAAACATTAATCAGACAAACAAACCTCTTCTGCCATGTATAAAAGTATGGTTTATCCTCTTATCTGTTGAAACACCGGCTCCCGGTATAAAATGGCATTATGGCTGCAACTTTCAACAGACAAGAGGATACCATAGAATAAGTAATCTTAGAAAATTAAATTGCACCGGTTTCTGTTTCCATAACCTACTGATTTAGTCGGTTAACGTCCTTTGTTCGGATTACTTCGGATACCTAAACACATATTATGATGTATAGTATAGGTACTATGTCAAGGTTCAATGCCCTGGACGCAGTTCGATCTTGCAAAGCGTCTTAGCATAAACGTTCATGCATCAATATCTGTATTCCATAGCAAGTCAATTTGTGCTATGTATTGATTTAGTTAATCCCTTTGCAAACACAACCCATTATAACGTTGGTACCTACTTGTGATTACATTTGACCCAATGTTTGTTTTGTTTACTCATGTTAGACAACAAAAACAAACGTGTAATTTAACAAAATTGTTACAGTTCCCCAAAAACCTTGTTTGGAACTGAAGCTTTAAGTTTTTAGACAGTTCAATTTATCTTCACTGTTCGTTTATACAACTGTAAATGTTTTTCAAACGTTTCATACAATGCTTTTTCGTTATGCAGTGAGATTTTCATGTTTGGTCATTGTTATTGAGACAAAGTAAAATACGCACATAAAAGAAGTGACTACTTTGATGCCAGTATAAATACTTTTCTGTATCAAAATGTCGTCTGCTTTTCAAATTTATTTTCACGTTTTCGAAATATTATTTTGACAGCAGAACGAGAGATAAGTTTTAAGCTGCGCACAGTGAGCATATACAGAACTATTCACGAGTGTACGCTGCCATAAACTTAAAAGTATCTATTTGAAAGACATATATGAAAATAGCACCTTTCAATTTATGTACCTACACTGAAAGCAAATATTACTGTAAGTTGGAGCTTTAAACTTCAAACGAAGTACCTAGGACATTTAGATAAAACGTTTACATTTAGAACTGTGAAAACGTACAGCTACTTATATCAAGTTTTTTTTACTGAGATAGTTACAGGAAATATGTAACTCTAAAAGCATTCTAGTAGTTAGCCTACACCAGTGAAGAGGTAAAGGCATATTACAGCTTTAACGATAGCCGTATCCGGTGGCTATCCTGTCGAGCACAACGCTATTAAGGAACCTGTTTTTTTAATACATTTTTGCATCCTACGCGGAAAAGGTTTTAGTTTTTTCTTTAATCAAAAACAAGTCTTTAAAAACATGGCATTATATTTAAGACTGTTATTAAAAGTGCAAAATCTTTGAAAGTTTTACCTTGCTCAATGAATTGCAATTTCCACTAGCAAAAGCTTTTAGGAAAGAAGTTATCTATCTGTAAACGATCCCGACGATGTCGTCTTCTTAGAAATATGTTTATGCTTGGTTGTTGGAGGATTCATATTCAAGTCCGAAACTAGAGAGCCGACTCGAACGTTTCTCAGAATCGTTGAGCCGGCGGCGGCGCGTCGGAGCCTCATCCACTCACGTGAACATAAACGTTCTATCATACTTAAGTCGTCTTCGTAGGAACACGACTCTAAAAGCCATAGGCGTAAGTTCTAAGTTAGCTTGGAGGCTCAAGATACGCTCGAATGACGTAAGCCGCTCCGCGAGCTCGCTGACGTAAGCTCGTTGTGCAACGGAGCCAGAGGTACGTTTGAAGCAGGGCTCTTGGAGGGAACTCGTGTAGAAATCGATGTTAAGAAATGATTCTGCTACGAACGAGCCTGTTTTCAGAACATACGTACATAGAATTGGTAATATATTGTCTCTTAGTCCAAGTTATCTTATGTGTAAAACCTTGACTTACCAAACAATAAATAACAGAACATCCACCACTTATTTGTCTTCTCACATTTATGTATCTGCGTTAATAGCATGACTGCTTGCAGCAACAGAATCTTAAACTGGTTGTTTTTCTTATTTATTATGTCTATTAATAAAAGGTTATGTGACATATTTTTGTACAAGTTTTTTCTTCCATTTGTTGTAGCAACCAACTGATTGACTGATAGTAAATCACTCAAGCAGTAACTTGCCTTTGATGAGTAACACACATCAAAGATTCTAATCTAAGCTTACTTCATTCATGAAATGGAGTGAACTTTAATTAATATTGAATGAATTGGTTTCAACGTGCAGAAAATATCTCTCTCTCTCTCATATTTTTTCTCAAATTTAACCTTACCTCACCACCCCTACTCTGCCTACGGGTGTCGCAAAAGCCATCTAAAGGACGACACATTTTACCTAAACCGAACAGATGGGGTCTCTGGTGAACCCATACCTTTTAATCTGAGACCTCTAACTCACCTGCTAATCGTAAATATTTATTCCCTCTTATGAACACCTATAGGCCAGCGATGGACTGACACAGCCTTTTGATGGTGATGATTCTTTTGTTTCCTCCTTTTCTCTCTGCCATCCGTCAATTTGTTCCACCTGATTTATGTCATTTGGGTGAAATAATTCCTAGGTAAAATAAAGATACCAGAAAATCTTTCTGACATTAGCTTTCCTTAATATATTCATTGTTGACAAATAGAATTTGATGTAAATTGTTCTCCATTTAAACATGTCAAAGTAACCGACAATGTGACAAACCTAATAATAGTAGTAACCTAATATTAGTAAATGACCTTTTAGGTTTATTATATAACTAATTATATCAATGGTATCTGAATAAACTTAGAAATGTAATCCCCGAATCTGAAATTAGTACACCGATAAAATAAATGTCTAAACATTGTAGTCGGCTAATTAGAGCATTGTTTTTAATTGTGACAAGACACTTAGCGACGAGTTAACGTCCTCATTAAATATAATTGTGCTGGAATAGGTTTATCGTAAACTTATTATAGAAATTTTCTAAATTTAAACTCATTAATTTTGTTTCGGTCCAAGCAATTTCGGTATTTATTACTAGGAATGAAAATACTTTATGAAATACTTTTTGGTTGGTCTGCGTTCGCCGGCCGACGGCCGACGGCAAAATACTACCGGAGCCAATGATTCGGGTGTTAGGTCAAGATATTAAAAAAAAAATTAAAACAGATACAATTCTTTAGAAAGAGACTATAGAGAGTTCTTTTATCGGGTTCTTATGAATTAGGACAAATATTTGCCCCTTGCCAATTTAATGGATCCAATTTGAAGCACTACCGAAAATTAAGAAACCCTTCAAAAATTTATATTTAGCACCTTTATGGTCAGTTTTCGCGGTTCTGTTGCAGGACCAACAAATCTACTTAAATATTGTAAGTTTGCTTTTCACAACTTCTTTCATTCCATTACTCTGCAAACAAGTTTTACTGATATCACATTCAAAAACAAATTAATATATAATCTAAGTGAGATAATCGAACATAAACAAAGCCGAATGACAGCTTAACAAAAAGAAATCTCCAAACAGCCTAAGTTCATAAAAACTTTACGACTTGCTATCGGATGGTCATATATTTTTGTCCGTCTTTTATTATTATGTCAAAGATCTAAAGCACTAAACTACCATAGATAGAAACATGAAACTTAAGACCTAAAAGAAATGGCGATACAGTATCGAATAACCAAGAAATGGCGTCTTCGTATGTTATTCTGATCTACTAGTATAATTTTGTATGCCTACGCCTGTCTCTAATTTTTCAATAGATCTAAATACTTGATGACTTCGGAAGAGGCTAATTGCGCGTTGCAAGATCAGTCATACATATGTTCAGGTCTGTTCAAAGTGGCGTGGCAGTTTCTCCTTGAGACTATAAGATATATATGTAGATTCTTTCTTGAGTGCGAGTATTGCGGGCTTGGAGATACGGCCCGCATCCGGGTGCAATGAATGCGACGACGGTTTCAAGGGCGCGCCTCAGGTGATGACGTACGCGCACCCCTACCGCCCCCAACTCGACTCCCGCGGGTGTTCCGGCACCCACCTAATAATGCACGTCTACGCCCTGTCTACCGCGTCCGCACTCGTTGCAACCTTGAGTGCTCTCGGGGACACCCCTGTTCGCACCTAAGGGTGG